CTGAACTCCATCCCTAGAAAATATGTCATTTTGCCTAGATCAGTCATTTCAAATTCATTCATTAGAACCTTCTTGAACTTGGTTATCTCCTGTTCAGAACTTCCAGTCAGCAGTATATCATCAACATATAAACATACCAGAGTCATATTGCCTTCAGAAGTATGCTGAACATAGACACCGTACTCCATCTCACATTTCTGAAAGCCTTGCTTCTTGAAAAATGAATCAATCTTCTGATTCCAAGCTCTGGGTGCTTGTTTCAATCCATATAGAGCTTTGTATAATCTGTACACCATCCCTTCCTGATTCTTTTTCACAAATCCAAGAGGTTGTGACACGTAAACTTCTTCTTCTAATGGACCGTTCAGAAATGTAGATTTTACATCTAAATACATCAGAGGCCAATTCTTGTTAGCAGCTATTGCAATCACCATTCTGATTGTTTCATGTCTTGCTACAGGTGCAAACACTTCAGAGTAATCCAGTCCAGGTTTTTGTAGAAATCCTCTGGCTACCAACCTTGCTTTATGTTTGCCAATTGAGCCATCTGGCTTTAACTTCTGCTTGAAAACCCATCTGACGCTGATGGCTTTCTTGTCTTTTGGAAGTTCTGTCAGCTTCCAAGTCTTGTTTCTCTCTATAGCATCAAGTTCTTCTTTCATGGCCTTCAGCCAGAGCTTCTGCTTAAGAGCCTCCTCTGTACTTATAGGTTCAGAGTCTACTAACATGGCACACTGAATAACTTCTCCTTCAGAGTCTACTTCAGTGTCTTGCAGCATGTCAAATTCTGCAAATCTTCTGGGAACGCTTTTGATTCTTTGTGGTCTCTGAACTTGTTCAGAGTCTTGAGCTTCAGAGTTTCCAACTTCAGATGGTTGACTTCCTCTAGAGCTTTGACCATCTTCAAGATCTGGCATATTTTCAGAGTCTTGGCCATCTTCAGAGTCTGAATTTCCACCAGAATCTGGATTACCATCAGAGTCTAGATCATCAGAGTCACCTTCATCTTCTGAGTCTTCTCTAGAGTCAGAATCACTATCAGAGTCAGAATCAACGTCAGAGTTTACTTCAACTTCAGAAATTCTTAACTCTGACCTTTCTTCAGAAGTTCTAACATCAGAATCAGATTGAGACTTATCCCAATTCCAAACTTCTGATTCCTTCACAATCACATCTCTGCTGAATTCAATTGTATTAGTTTCTGGACAATAGAGCTTGTATGCACCTGTACTGTGGTACCCTATCAGAATCATCACTTTGCTTCTATCATCCAGTTTCTGTCTTCTGGCTTCTGGAACATGTTTATAGCAAACAGAACCAAACACCTTCAGATGACTAACACTTTGCTTGTCTCCAGTCCACTTCTGCATAGGAACTATTTCCTTCAACTTCTTCGTAGGACATCTGTTGAGTACATACGTTGCAGTGACAACAGCTTCTCCCCAGAGCTTCTGAGGAAGTTCTTCTCCTTTAGCATGCTTCTCACCATATCAAGCAAAGTACGGTTTCTTCTTTCAGCAAGACCATTGTGTTGAGGGGTATAAAGAGCAGTAACCTCATGCTCAATTCCATTCTCCTCACAGAACTTCTGGAACTCTTTGGAGTTATACTCACCTCCACCGTCAGTTCTAAGAATATTCAACTTCTGACCACTCTGATTCTCAGCCTTCATTCTGAATTTCTTGAATTCATCAAACACCTCGTGTTTGAACTTAATAAGGAATACCCATGTCATTCTTGTGAATTCATCAACAAATAGCACAAAGTATTTATTCCCTCCAATTGATGCTACTGGAAATGGACCACACACATCAGAATGTACAACTCCCAAGGCATGTTTTGCTCTTGGAGCAACTTCTGACGCAAATGGCAAACGTGGTTGTTTTCCTTCCATGCAAACTTTGCATAACTTCTCAGGCTTCTTAATTGCAGGATTTTCATGTACCAGCTTCTTTGAATTCAGATGTTTTAAGCTTCTGAAATTCAAATGACCAAATCTTCTGTGCCACAACTCACTCTCCTTCTCAGCACATGTTGCACTAAGACATTCTGAGTCTGCAGTTCTGACATTCACCTTGAATGTTCTATTCCTTCCCTGTTCTGACTCCATAATCAACTTTTGATTGTAGTCATACAACTTCAGAAGATTGTCCTTCATAGTAACTGAAAAACCTTTCTCAATAATTGTCCCACACTCATCAGATTGCTTCTGATGCCAGGTACATACCACACGTTCTGAATCAATGCTATTTTCCTATTGTTCAGAGTCACTCTGACATTTCCCATACCTTCTGCATTAAGATATTTGTCATCAGCACATCTGATCTTTGTCCTCTTTTCAGAGTCAAAGTCAACCAGCCATTTCTTGTTTCCAGTAAGATGATTTGAACAGCCAGTGTCCATATACCACCAGTCTGTCAGATCCATATCATCAGATTCAGAGGCCATCAATAGCACAGATTCGTCATCAGAACTTCTGGCTATATTTGCTTCTTCTGATTTCTTCTCCTTGTTTGACCAACAATCTCTAGCAAAGTGACCAAACTTCTTACAACAGTAACATTGGATCTTCTTCTTGTCATACTTCTCTTTTCCCTTCTGAGCATTCTTTTGCCTATCAGAGATTGAGCTTTCTGACTTCTGACCACCATCAGATCTTCTCTTGGCTTCTGACTGCTTCTGATACCTCCTATCAGAAGTTGCTTTCAGAGCCTGCTGCTCTACTTCCCTTTCAGAAGTTCTCTCAGTCAAACGCAACTCTTGCGCTTCTAAACTGCTCTGCAGCTCTTCAATTCTCATGGTACTCAGATCTTTGGAATGTTCTATTACTACCACAATGTAATCAAATTGAGAGGTAAGGGATCTCAATACCTTCTCCATGATTGTTTCTTCAGAAAAAGTTTCTCCACACACCTTCATCTCATTAGTGATCAGAATCACTCTGGAGATGTATTCAGAAACTTTCTCATTATTCTTCATGTTGAGATTCTCATATTGCTTTCTCAAGGACTGAAGCTTCACCTTCTTCACTGATGCGTCACCACCATAACATCTAACCAGTGTGTCCCACGCAGCCTTTGCTGTCGTTGAATCTGCAATCTTCTCAAACACATTTACATCAACACATTGATGAATAAAGAATAATGATTTCTGATCCTTCTTCCTTACTTCCTTCTGCGCGTTTTTCTGTTCATCTGTTGCATCTGCTGCTACCGGAACATAACCATCAGTGACAAGATCTAAAACATCTTGAGCACCAAACAGTACACGCATTTGGATCATCCAACGATTCCAGTTTTTATCGTCAAATACTGGAAGTTTGGTGTTCATGTTGCCATTTTCGTTCATCTTCACCTTACACAATACACTCAAATTTCTCACACAGTGTTTCCCAACCCACAGAATAAAATTCTGATCAGATTTTGTTCAAGATTCAACACGAATCTAAGAATCAAAATCAAACACACAAAACCTCATGTTCACTCGTGTTTCCCGTGTTTCCGAATGAATCTGAACCGAAGCTCTAGATACCAATTGTTGGTGCAAAGGTGAATAAATGATGAACAAAGGAAATATTCTATTAAGAATGACGGCTACAAAACATGATAATAGTTACAATGATTGTCACCCTATTTATAAGCTAAAACTAGGGTTACTAGAATAAGATAAAATACTAAAATACCCTCTAACAAACTTAGGGGCTAAGAAAATAGTATAACTAAATAAATATGAATTATTATTAATATTCTAATAGTTGTCTCTATTTGACAATATCAATTAAAAAATGGCATTCATAAAACACTTTTGGATAGAATATTTTACTTGCTTCGTCCACTTAATAGACGATTTTTAATAGATAACTAAAGTAGAAAAGATAATAATTTAACTTATTACGTATTGATGTATTTATCTTTATTATAAAGTTAAAGTAAAATATACTAAATTAAGAATAATGCAAATAATATTAATTAAAAATTATAATTATAAAAATAGTTAATTTGTATTGAAAATTGAAAGAAATCAATCACTTTGTGGTCTCCGTTACACATTAACTTGGAAACAATTTACATTAACAGCGAGACTGTTCACTTGTGTAAAAGCATTATTATTAGCAGCATATATCAGATTCAAAGGAAGGAAATAAGATCAATTTTGGGTTCTGTAATCGAGCTTGAAGATCCCAAGTCACAACAATTTAAACTACTGCTTCCATTCTTAAACTTTGGTAGTTTACTTTAATTTAATTGCAACTTAAGGAAGGGCGGGCACATTTTACAGATACCATTGCACCGTGTCTGAAAAGTTACATAAATTTATATCAGAAGAAAATTTGGTTAATCAGATTCAAGCTACTATACTGAAAAAGAGCCAAACAATAGAGTTTCTGGGGATTCAGTTAAATATTTTTAGGTACAAGCTATTATATTGTAGATCTGCAGACCATGTAGCATACAAAACTGAAGTAGAGCAACAGAATGGATGCCCCTGCAAAGACCAAATTTCTATATTATTAGTGATGATGACATTATCATGTGGATCTTACTATCAGAAGGGTGGCTAATTACAGGTGGCAGGGAATGTCACAATATATACATGCTTAATGATTTGACAATTACTAACAAATTGCATCTGTCAGTAAGTTGTTTGGGTTTCAGAGTCGAATAGTAGATGTGAAAACAATGTTCATTTCAACTTTTTTTATTCGCATCTGTGTTAGTTCACAAATCACAGTTACAAATTACAAATAGTTCAACTTCTGAACATCTGCACAGAAGAGTTTGTGCGTACAAATCACTTGGATGGTGAAGTAATTGGCAGCACTATCAACCAACAGATCTCCATTGAAAACTGTTTTGCAAATATATATAGTTTTTTCATATATTTTATGGAGAAAAAAACTAACTCAGCAGTGCACATTAATTTCTTATCGTTAGTTTTTTTTACTAGTATAATTATATAAAGGAAAGAGACACCTTACTATTGAGTAGGGGAGACAAAGCTCAGAAGAAGATTATTGAAACACCCATCATGAAACAACCCATAGCTACCCACGGACTTAAACGCTCACCTGTGTAAGTAACCATTAAAGCAGGGTCAAGATAATATCTCCGACAAGTTCCACGCCTGATGAAATATATTTTGTTTCCCATGACAAATCCCAACATGCAGCACTTAGGTGAGACAATGAAATTCAAGAGGTACAAGGCAGAGCTAGAAAACTAATATCTGATGTCACAAACAACCTTATGGATGCCACCATAACATAACATTTTGAAGCTTGCAGGATATAGAACATACTTATTTGAGGATGAATGTTCCAAATTAACTAAAGGGTTTATAAAAGTGGCACATAAGAATGAAGCATAACTACAGAAGAGGTTGAGACTGAAAATAATACATAATCATGATTTATTATATCAAAAAATTAAGATATGACCATAATCCATGCTATTCTGTTTGCATAAACCATAATACATCCCAAGGTTCGCCATGAACACAGGTATACAATACAACTATGTTGTTTGACCCAAATTAACTCAAAACACCATATTCATAAGTCATTAAGGCATCAATCACATGGATAAAAGGCAATAAAAATCACAGCAAAAAGAAAAATAAAACTTCAGGGTAACCTGGCCTAAAACTATAACTCCTTTCACCCTTTTCTTTCAACTCCAATCTCTTTTTCGAAGTTTGAATAAAAACGAAGCACATATAAAAATAGGCATACAAATTATAATTGATGCAGTAGCAAATCAAGTAAGAGACATCTACCTACTCTTGCCGCCTTCCAGAAGAAACCACGAAATCTGTCAGGAAAACATGTATCCTGTTTGTTCAGCAAGTTCTAAAAATCTATTATGGAGAATAAAAACACTAGTGCAAAGTATATATCCAATGTTTCAAAACAATGTGATTATGGTATATAAAACCTCACGATTAATTGACTGTATTAAACTCAAATGTCCAAATTTTCAAACACTTGCAAAAAGAAACAGGAAGGGCAAGGGAAGGGAATCGAGGGTTAAACAATGCTTTTCTTTCCCTTTGCATGGATGTTTAAAATTCTCAATTTAGAGAGAACATAAAAATTTATAAAGGGGGTGGATTCTAGGGATTACAATTACATGATAAGTCTCCACTGTCTTTAACCCAGCTTGAAAAAATTTGTCAATAGCTGATTGTAGAAAATATTGTTTTGATTCAAATTTTGCAGTACTGCAGAGCTATTATAGCAGTTATTTGACAATGCTTTGTACTAAATCACAAGGTTTTAAATAAGGTCGTGGTCGCGTTGAAGTAGCGTAAAGACTTTCGCGATTTCGGTAGGTTCAGGTCTTGTGACGCTGATTGTGGTCGTTGCGATGTGAATTAACCACAATTTATTCTTTATCACAAAAACAGTGAATAACGGTATCGGTTTCGGCAGGTGCCGATACCGTTTTGCTGACTGTTTTCGCGGTAACATACTGTTTTATAAAACCTTACTAAATCATACAGAACACTAGCTGTTTGTTAAAATTTTGCTACCCTAAATCATAACTATAGCTTTTACTATTTGACAACACTGGTTTAATGTAAACTTATGCTTAAACCATAAGAGTATTTCCATAGATATAGAGAGAGATATAGTATATACCCCGTTCTTTGTTCAAGGATTGCTGGAAATTGCATCTTGAAGTAAGTACAGGCACATATTCCCAAAAGTATCACAGTAAGAAATGAATGAAAATTGAACAGTGCAGACTGAAACCAAATAGAAAACGAATGTCAAAAGCATTGAACAATCTATAAAACTATACCAAATTGATTCACAATTAACCTTATTCTCACCATCTTCAATTATTCTTAGAATTCACCACGCTTCACCTTCTTCAAAACATGTCAATAACAATCACATTAGAATTACGGTCAGTGGCAGACAAAAACAACCAAAAAGTATGAAAATTATGCTAAACCTATCTCAATTAAAATTAATCACAAAAGGTAACTAAACCTAACCCTAAAAAAGATGAACAATAAAAGGAGAAGATCATTAATACCTAATGTGTTATGAGATTGATTATTGAGAATTAATGCGAAAATGGATTAAACCTTGATTTAGAACAGATCTATATATAAAATGAGCTTGTTTTAATAGAAAAAAAAAAAGAGACGGAGAAGAAGATGAAGTAGCGAAGATCTCGAAATTACCTGAATTCGAAGGTGTGATCGTCGATCGCTGAACGAAGAATTGATTCAGCTTGCGGTTGGAAGTAATGTTGATTTACTTTATACTTTCTCTCTCTTTCTTATTGAGTCGAAATTTATTGAATCCCCTGCAGTACAAAAAGCCGCATTCACACGGTTAAGATATTAATAGCCGTTGGATCTTCATCATATGGTTCAGAAAAAAAAAACAAATTTAATTTTGTATAGTTTTAAAATTATCACTCTTAAATCAAAACCGTCGGATCTGCGTGAGGCTTTGATTGCCTGAATCTAGGTAAATTGATCTTTTAACGTGTACCATAATATTTTGATTTTCTTTTCCAACGGAAACGGGTAAATTGAATTTTTTTCAGGAGACTTTTGATATCTTGATTAAGTGATAATCAGAATTCTGGTAGGATTTGATTTACAAGATCATTATTCGGACTATAGCTAAATTAGTTATTTTCTAAATAAAAGGGGGAATGGATTCTCTCTAATGTGATTTTCACCGAATTGTTATTTTAGTTATAGATAGGGCTGGAAATGAGTCGAGTCGAGTCGAACTCACCTCAGCTCGGCTCGACTCGTTAAGAATTGTTCGAATTCGAGTTCGAGTTCGAGTTTGACACGAACTTTTTTTTAAGCTCAAACTCGACTCGTTATAAGTTCACGAACAGTTCGGTTTGACTCGTTAGGTTCATCTCATTAGGTTCAGCTCACATGGTTCACGAACTTAAAAACTATTTTTTTTAATATATATATTTTTTAGTATATTTGACATTTTAAATAAATAAATATATATTTTAAATAAAATATTAAAATAAAATAAAAGTTATCATATTGAAATTTAACTTTATCTTCGAAATCTACTAATTCAAAACCTACACAACTTTCAAGAGATACATTTGAGAGTCTAATTCAAAACCTACTAAATTGAAGATTAAATTTGTCTAAGATTTGAAGTAAATATTTAAACCTAATCTTAAAGACAGTATAATTCTTTTCATATGTAATCGAGTTGACTCATGAACCTAACGAGTCGAACTATGTATAGTTCAAGTTCAGCTCATTTAGTTAACGAACTTAATTTTTCGCTCATACTCAACTCATTTGGTTCATGAACCTAGTTCGACGATTTAATTGTCGAGTCGAATTCCGAACTATCTTCGAGTTGGTTTGGTTCATTGCCAGCCCTAGTTATAGATCAATGGATTTAAACAAAACACTCGAACTAATTGTCATTTTAGATTTTTTTTTTTCTTTTTCCTCCCCTTTCTCACTTTCTTCTTTCTATAATAGATATAGAAACTTCTTCAACAACAATTAATCATGTAATTTTCAATTTGTATAAGATATTAAAACTCCTTCGGTATTCTTACATATAATAAATAATTTGTTACACGCCATTTATATTGCTTTATTGATCATCGTTGTGTTTTGTTTGGTCGATACCACTGCTCTCTACTCCGTTGATTGTTATCGGATGATCTTTGATCGACGTTGTCATTGTTCTTTATTGATTGTCATCTGTAATCTTTAGTTGATGTCATGATTGTTCTCTATTAATCTTCATTGTCGTACTTCGTCATTGACGTGTTTTGTCATTTTCAACATTCTGCTTCGTTTTCTTATGGTCTATCACTGGTGGTCTATTATTGTCGTGCTTTGTCATCTTTATCAATGTGCTTCGTTTTTTTGATGATATTGTTATCACTAGAGACGATACATAGGACATCCAACGTCTAAAAACTCATATTTTCAAAATTTTAAAGACAAAAGATTTTGGTCCACTATATTTATTGGTATTTTTAGTAAACAATCACGAGTTTTAGTTCACTAAATGGATTAAACTCGAAAAAAATTCTAAGGGCAATTTGTGCAGAAAATACAACGAAAAGTATTTGTAATTGGTCCTTAGATGTTTAAATATTGGCAAACTATAAACTCTAGATGAGACAATGTAAAATTGATTTAGAAGAAGAAAATAAACAAAAAATAATAATAAATGTCATAAAAGTAAATGTTTTAATTGCAAAGACTTTAAGAATTTAAAGAAAGTACACTGACATACATTTTCTCACAAATTGTTTCTCTTTGTGACTTGGATACTTTAATTCAATAGAGAATAAATGAAATTTACGATCCAGTATCATGCTAATCGTCGACAATGGTTATCTCCATAGAACTTGACATGTATCCCTTTACGCGGGCTTCAACCTTCTAGTTTGCTTCCACGCGTCTTCGTTGTTAAAACTGCTGCAAACCACCAAGCATGTTGATAACTGCCTATGAACCCCTTAATTGTCTCTGTCGAAAGTCTCTGGTCGACTCCTATAGTAGCGTCGAAAATACCTTAAAATCAGATAATCTTTGGACTTAAGAATATCCTAAGTCCCTAATAAAAACGTGAATGTGTTGAACTAGACATTTATCGAAGTGTTGATTTGTGCAAAATCTCTTTGAGATTCTGAATATGTTTTGAAGAGCGAGTGATCATAATCTTGTGAATTTGTTTCTAAGACTCTTCCAAACCAGACTTCATGGGAGTTAAAATAAAATTATGTCTCATATCATCTGACAAGGTGGTTGAACCATCTTTAGTCAACATGGTGTTCACCCCTGTATTTTTGGTAAACAATCACTTGGTTTTAATTTTATTACTTGAAGGACCAAACTAGTAAATCCTAGGGCAAATTTGTAATAAGTGTTTGAGAAAATAAAGTGTGCATTTAATGTTGTCGGACTGTTTACATCAATTGTTGATTATCTTTGGAAAAACAGTAAAGTTTTAAAAGTGAGTACAATAAGTTATTTCGACTGGGTTGAAATTAGTTACTTGGATGGTAAATAAAAATAAGTAAAAATAAAAACTAAGTAGAAATGGAATTTAATTGCATAAGTAAAAAAAATGGTAGGCAAGTACATTTCTTCAGAAAAGTCGTTTCTCTCTTGCGTGTGGGTATTTTGAGTGTACATTAAAGTTTACTATGATTTTTGCCACTCCTGAATCCTAACATTAGACCTCTTATTTATAATACTATTAAAACGATTTTTCAACGTTCAAATATCTCTTTGTTCGACAAGTCATCTTTGCATGTCTGACTAGCCTTAGATTGGTCTACACTGTCCTTGGCGTTTTTGGGTAAGAACAAAAAATGGTTACTTCAGTTTGAAATTTGAATTTGCCTCTAGTCGTCCTTCTTTGACTTGTCAAACTTGAAGGATGACCAAACCCCTTAAAAAATTACACTAAGTCCTAGACCAGACTTCTCAGTGTCGAGTGTTGTTTCTTCTTCTTCCAAGGTATTCGGGTGAAAGGCATGCTAACTTTGCCTTGTATCTGCAGAAATTTCAGTTGGTTTCTTTGTCGAATTTCCTCTTTTGGAATTTCTTGGCTAACAAATTACCTCCATAAATGCCACTTTCGATTAATATTTTGAGAGACATGTGGCATTTTTGAAGTTCAACCACTATTTGAATTTATGTGTTGACGTCACCGTCATCATGCCTACTCCCTATAAATTATCTTAAAGACGTGTAGGTTTACAAAATCCATCATGGCTCCGAGTTCCCAAGAAGGATGTGAGTCATGCACAAAATCCAACTCCCCACTTTCTCACTTTTAGTGGGACATCTTGAAGGGGCGAGAAACATAAGAAAGAGGGTTTGAATTGGGTCTCACCAAATGTGAACTTTAAAAAAAATTCAAACTTCAATGCAAACAAGAGAATAAAAATAAATAGACACAATTATTTTTATCCTGGTTCACTGTTAACAAAATTACTCCAGTCCACCCACCAAGGTGATTTTGCCTTAGAAGAGGACTTAATCTAATAATCTAGAAAGATTACAACCTCAAAGTGTTAATAAGCAACTTAGCCCTCTCAAGTATATAGACTAATGACTTAGTCACTTGAGGAATAACCACTTTGAAAAGTGTTACAAATGTGTATACAAAGAATTGCTTCTAAACAAGCAGATTACACAAGTTTAAGTACAGGAAAGTGTTTCTAGCAAGATATGAACAACAATTCCTTGCTAATAAACAAAACTATCTTAAGAATAATCTCCAAGAGATTTGCATCGTATCAGTATTAGTTTGTTGCTTAAAAGCTTACTTTGATGCTTATCTCTTTTTCTTGTAGAGCAACGATCTATCTTTTGTTTGATCATCAATCACCTTCTTTTTGAACTTACGACTTGGTGATTTTCTTCCACTTTGCACACATACTCTCGTGTTTTCATCAGCTTTCTCTATTCTTCTTTTGGGTGAGCATAGTTGTCGCTACTGCGAAAATCGGCGCCGGCTGACAGAAGAGTCGCCACCGTGCGTTATTTATCCCAACGGAGGGAAAGGAAACGCTCGAAGTAAACCTCGCAAAAAAACGGGAAAAGGTATGGTCATCGCAACCAAAACCTGGATTCGGGAGTCGGTTACGCAAGGGGAAGGTATTAGCACCCCTCACGTCCGTCGTACTCGACGGGATCCACGCTTGCTTGTTTGTCTACAGGAGGCAAAAACAATCTATCTATGGCTGCTAAATCTAAACGGAAAGGAATTGACTCGATAGAGCGTCGCACTCTATGCCTACGTATTCTCAAGAGAGAAAGTCAGAGTCAACGTAGTTCGGGACTACAGGGAA